CTCGAGTCTACAGTGTGACTGGTCTGCCCGCACCGGGCCTTCAGTCCACCTGGTCCACTCTCTGAGTCTACAATATGACTGGACCGCCCGCACCGGGCCTTCAGTCTATTTGGCCCATTCTTCGAGCCTCGGCACGTCTGAACTGCTCTCTCGGGGCTTCAGCCTATCCGGACCGCTCGTCGGGCCTTCGGCCTGACAAGGTGCCCTCCTGGGCCTGCAGTCTATCCGGTCCACCCTGGGTATGTTGGCCTACAGCACGAAGCAGGACCCGCCTCAACCCAACCCCCATACCAATCAAAAAATCATGTGCACATAAATATCATACGCTAGCATGTATGTAACAGATAATCATACCGATCTAACAGATCACTAACACATCAACCATCTTATAACCAGGATACCGACCTAACCGGTCACTAACATAACATCATCCTATATACCAGGATACCGACCTAAACTAGGTCACTAACATAAGACCATCCTATATACCAGGATACCGACCTAAACCAGGTCACTAACATAATACCATCCTAACTACCAGGATGCAGATCTAGCAGATCAATAAACATATAAAGCGAATACCCGGATACAAATCCGATAAAGGGCCGGCCTTGGTGCCTTAGACCCTGTTGATATAGTGAGGATAACTCACCTCGCAAGTAGTGCCGAAGTACCGAAAACCTCTGATCGCTGACTCACCGGAAATCCCGAACTATCACATAATAAATACCAAGTCATTACACAACATAACAATCTTGACTAAGGGGGTCCATACAATCCATCATGTCCATTCTCTTCATTGGGCCAAGGCCCAATGCCAATTCCATAACCTTGAAAGTCCTTATGCAAAGCCCAATATTGGCCCAATTTACCAAATTGGGCCCAACTCCCTAATTGGGCCTAATTCCAAGATCCATTATCAAAACTTGGCCCAAAACATAATATTCATAAAGTCCAGCAAAGGCCCAAATCCAACTAGTCCATAAACAGCCCAAAACCCGAAGCCCAATTGCCAAAGGCCCAACAAACGAGTACCAGCTAGCTCTCTCTCTCTCTCTGACTCTCTCCCATCTTTGGGTGGGAGAAAAAGTTGACAGTTGACATGAGTACGAATCTCAGTGCTAGTCTGTCATGTCATGTCATGTTCTATTATGTTTTGTTTCTGATTGAGATTTGTTTATCAGGTGGTTCCTTTTTGTACTTCTCCTACAATTGCAAAAAATAAGGCCTTATAAAAAGATGTTCAAGATGATGAATTTATAAGTTGTTCAATGGTGATGAATTAACATGTGCTACTCTTCTTAAAGACTTGGTAGTAAAGTTGTACATGATATGGAATATGGTAAACCAGAAGATGAGTCAAAGACTTAAACACAAACAAACATGTTCTACTCACTCAGAAATTGGAAAAATCAAGATAGTTAGGCCGTTCTTTCATTAGTTTGTGGTTAAATTGCCATCTTGTTACTTCATCCATCAACTCTAGCTTGAAGAAAATCAAATGGTTTAGGTGGCTATTTTGCTTTGTTTAGTAATAAATGTTTGCAATTACGCATGCTTGATGTAACAATAACAATATGAAGAATTCATATATATATATATATATATATATGACTATATGAGGTCTTAGGTTTAAGAATTTAAATATATGACCATATTTCGTGTTTATGTTCCTTGTATTTGGAATATTTTGGTGCAACCAAAACAAATATTGAAGGTTTCGAGCTTGGGATAACTAAATTTTATCCTCTTCCATCCTCAAATTGAAGGTGTAATATCTTTGTTCATCATTTCAACCGTTTAGGATGAAACAATGGTTTTGTTATAAGTTGAATATGTGGTTGTTTATTGTGATGAATTCAAATGGACAATGATGTTAATCTATGTTTAATGATCTCATAACACCCTAAAGTGTTCTGTTATTTTATATATGGATTCAATTCCATGATTTGTAAATGGTGAGCTAGAACTTAAAATTTAGTAATGGTGAAATTGAAGCTTGGGCCATGGTGGGATGTTATTGTAACTGTTAATCGGACCAAATAATCAAATAATTGGTCTAACCTAGTGTAAATGAAGAATAAAATAAGGATATGGTAAATTAGGAAGTTGTTGGAAGCTATCAAGACTCTATGGTTAATGACAATGTATTTATCAATATACAAACTCAAGTTTGAAGGTTAAAGAATATCAAGAAGCATCTAGAGTTACAACTCAAGGTATGTAACAATATAAGTTTGAAAGTTGATTGTGCAATGTTAATGAATGTAACATTCTGATTTTGGGCCTAGGAGTTGTGGTTATTTTTAGTGAAAATACCTTTTTGAAAATAAATAAAATAGATAAATATAATAAGCCATGGAAAGTTATTGAATAAGTTCAACTTGGTAAATTTTAAATTTCAAGACATTAGTAAGATCTATTGTGGGAAACTAAGATTTTAGTGTTGAAGGGCCAATAGTGGCAAGTTTGGAAAATTTGTGGAAGTTTAAATCTAATTAGAAAAACTATTTAAAAAAAGAAAATATGCGATGATATGATTTGGAAGCT